GGGGGGGAGGATAGACGGCCCAGTGGTTTGGGCACTAGCCTCCGAGTTGGGAGATGTGGGTTCAAATCTCTGCTCCACCACAACCTGCCTGTGCAACCATGGACAGGTCACTTAGCCTCTCTGCATCAATTCCCCAATCTGGGACATACAGGAGAGCAGACGACCTGGTGGTCCCTGCTGGCCTTAATCCCTGTGACTGTGTGTGCAGTGGGGATAGGAGCACTGCCCTACCTCACAGGGGGTGAGAGGATTGTAAGGCACCCAGATACCACAGTGATGGGGAAAAGACACAAACCCACCCACTCCTCTTAGACCTTCTGGTCACTCCTTCCTCCCTCCCCCCCCCGCCCAGGTGTTTTCAGAATGACCCTGGAATGTTTAATACCTGCCCTTCCAATCCTGCTCTGCCCTTTTAAAATGGGATTCTGATGTGTTTCATGGGTTCCCATTTTAAGACAACAGCAATTGACTATGTTCCTGCCCTGCTGAAAAGCGCGAGGGTTCAATAGAAGACAGCACTATGGAAACATCATCGATCTGTTCTGCTTCCTTCAATTGCCTTTTCCCCCCAGCTCATCTTCACGAACTGCTCCAGGCCTAATTACTGCTTGAACCTGATTCACAACAGGCATCTGTTTATTTCAGTCAGCTGGTAGAACTGGGGAGATTCGACATGAGCAACCTAGTCTGTTCTAATCCGGCTGTGACGTAGTCAAGACTGTTTCATATCGTGTCTTACATACAGACGCATCTCACAATGCTTAATACAATGTGCAGTACACAAAGGATTTGAAAGTTAGGGACAGTGCTCGAGAACTACTAGATGGATGAAAACCCACACATTTTATGGGAAGCATGGGCACTTGCTACCACTCGAAGTCCAATGTAGGAAATATAGCTTTAAAATACATTTTCCATTGAAAATATGTTTTCTCCCATGGAATAAAACCAAGGGATTTCTCCCCCCCCCACCCCCCCAAAAATAATTCAGCTGTCAGCCAAGGTATATAGCACCACCTAGCAGCAAGAGATTAGAATGAGCAGGGTACTAGGGGCTACAAGGACAATGTGGATCTAAGTTTAGCCATGCCTCATGCCATCCCTAGACATTAGTGGTTGGAGATTCCTGCAATACTGGGGCAGGTAGAGAATGTGATTTGAGCCATACATTTCTTCCGTTATTTTTGGGGAGTTTTAAGGCAAGTCATGCCCTACTTCGGACAAGGGTTATTGACAATCCACCCAATGGCTTCATCAGACTGGTACATCCCAGTGTGTGCTGGGCCTTTCTAGGGCTGCCTCCAACCACGGGCTGGTGGCATGACCAGACTCATTACTGTCTGCCCCCACCATGTTTTCTGGGTGTGCAAACCCACGGGGCATTCAGAGAACCAGCCTGAGCTTTCTGATCAAATCTACAGATGCATCCACTGCTCTTCAGACACAAACCCGGCTTTATTGTCCCGCTTCACAGACTGATACTGTTAGTTCTCAAGACAGGACAATTTACCTACAAAGAAGGTTAATTTCATCACATTCTCCACGCAGCTTTGTACAGAAACTAGTGTTTGAAACAAGACTCTTCCAGTAGCTGTTTACTCTCTAAAACAAACTGCTGAACTGTGGTTAGATTCCTAACTTCCAGGCTAGCAGGGAACAGCCCACTCGCCCAGGGCTTTCTGATCAGACCCTCCAGCCAACCGCAGGGCAGCATTAACAGGGTTTAGAGGGAGTCACATCCAGCCTGCCCCAGACACAAAAATGGGTCAGGCTGACACGAGGCATCCCCCAGAAAACTTCTCCCAAAAACCTTTTTAATTCTTTTCTGTGGCGGGGTGGGAAATAAGAGGCATTGCATTTCCTAAGACACCCTGAATCCGGGCCCTAGCCTGCTTCTGGTCCTATCTGACTAGGAATATAACGAAACCCCAAATGATCCAGGGAAAGAAAAGACCGACTGACTGATCTAACTGGTCTTCTCCAGCCCTGCCCTGGATTGGCTGTTGAAGGGCTTTGGGGTTAAGCTTCCCCACAACTCAAAGACATGGAAAGGAAACACATTGAATTGGGCCCCACCTGTGCCAACACGGTGATGAAGTTCCGGTTTAAGTGAACGGCTTCGTAGAGGGCCAGAAGAATTGCCTCATTCGTTCTACAAGAGCAGCAGAAAAGCAGAGTTACATTAAGGGCTGCACTCCAGGGACAGCCACCAGAGCAAAGGACTTTCCCAAGTGACTCATGATTCGGTGAGCCCAGCCGGAAACACCTTCAAGGGGCCTGAGTTTCAGAAGTGGCGCACGCCCACCCTCTGAGAGCCGAGCGCTTTTTATTTAAGGTGCATTAGTTGGGCACCCCCAATTACTAGTCACTTTTGAAGACCTTGGCTATGGTCTTGGACCCCCTCAACCTTCCACCGAAGGACTCACCTTGTTCCTCACTCTCAAGCACTGCTTCCTCCTTAAAGTCCCTGCATTTGAGAGCACAGAGCAGCCAGCTGCCTCCACCATCCCTTATTTATGTTGGGCTGGGGATGGAGGTACAGCTTTTTCCCTCCTGATTTGAAAGGAAAGCACTCCTTGGGGCAGGAGACCGTGTCCACCACTATGATCTCCAACACCAAACACAAGAGGGGTGCTCCATGAACAGTAATTCCCCTCCCACTCCCTACCTCCAACACTCGCGCACAGCATTACAGAATGCTCCCGACACAGCCAGCCCATGGCTCCTACAGCCCCAGAGCTTCATTCGAGTCCCAGCCTCGCCCGTCGTTTGCAGTTGCAAGGTACAATTTTGGTTGCCAAGCCAGAGCGGACATTGCTTCGGCTTGTTTTTCTACATTAAAATGGCCCCATAATGGAACCGGAGCAGGTGACATTTTGCAATTCAGAACCAGCAAGGTAAATTGCCATTCACTGTACGGATAATATCTGTGTACTTACTGGACGGAGATTTTCTCATCGGCATCGGCTATGAACATGCTGCCCACCTGAGGAAGGAAATAGTATTGCACAGCTTTATGAAGCACATTAGGAAAAGCTGTTCCCATTGCCTACAGCTAGCAAGAGCAGGCCTGGACAGGACCTGAAAGGCCTTGGCAGGCTTGCAGACGAGGAGCAGGACAAGGAAAGTCCCACAGCTTCCTTCCCCAGGTGGCCATGAGCTGCCCTTGGAAGAAGCCTCCCCCAGGACACATCTCGTAGCTACAGCTAACCCCCGCTCAAATGACAAAAGACGATGACTGATTCCCAGAGCTGGATCTCTCAAGGGGCTCCCCATACAGCCACAGACAAAACACTGTAGGTTTAGGGCAATGCATTTCTCATCGCATTGTGCCAGCAACACTGCTCTGGGTCCGGCCGCTCCTGCAGAAGAGCGGCGATTTATTTTTTTTATGACAACGGCTGTTTAAAAAAAAGTCATGCAGCTTTTAAAAATGAAGATGGAGAAGAAAATATTTCTGATTCTCAGCCAAAAAATACTTAGCTCCTTGCAAAGCACAGCAATATGATCTGTGGTGTCGTTTGTCACACACACACACACACACACACACACACACCCCTGATCCAAAGCTCACTGAAGTCAATGGAAAGACTCCTGCTGAATTCAGTGGATTTTGGATCAAGGCCTCACATAGTCCCATACACTTTATTTATCTTTTAAGTACTCAAAAAATGCTCTTTCCTCACTCACCATATTGGTTAAGGCTGAGAAAAAGCCACTCTGGTGCTCCTCTTCCTTATCTTTGTACTGCCTGAACAAAACAGGGAAACAGCAACAGAAAGTGGGGTGTTACACACGGAAACAGGGTTATTTTATCCACATCCCTATACAACAGACACGTCAGGTCAGGATAAGAGCTGGAGAGAGCGTCAACGTTCACGTTTACTTTTCAAGGAGCTTGTGAAGAGAGCTACGAAGGGAATTCAAATCTCTGTTATGGACAGCCCATGGATTAAGGCAGGGGAAGGAAACCTATGGCACGTGTGCCGAAGGCGGCACGCGAGCTGATTTTCAGTGGCACTCACGCTGCCCGGGTCCCGGCCACCGGTCCGGGGGCTCTGCATTTTAATTTAATTTTACCTGAAGCTTCTTCAACATTTTTAAAACCTTATTTACTTTACATACAACAATACTTTAAATTTAGTGCCTTGCATGGTATAGTTTAGTTATATATTATAGACTTCTAGAAAGAGACCTTTTAAAAACGTTCAAATGTCTGACTGGCACGTGAAACCTTACATTAGAGTGAATAAGTGAAGACTCGGCGCCCCACTTCGGAAAGGTGGCCGACCCCTGGATCAAGGTATGCAGTGGTGGGGTAGCCAGGTTGGGTCCCAGGATATTAGAGACACAAGGTGAGTGAGGAAGAAGCTTAGTGCAAGCTGGAAAGCTTGTCTCTCTCCCCCACAGAAGCCGGTCCAATCAAAGGTATTACCTTGGTCCCCGTCCCCCACCTCGGCTTCGGTAGTAGGGGACAGTCTGGGGGCTAACAGGAAAGGGGAGCATTGTGTTCTGAGGCAAAGGTCACACCGCTGCTCAGCCAAGCCCCACCCAGTCTGGAGTGAGACGAGGGGGGAGCTAGGGCAATCTGAAAGGCATGCTCCCAAATAGCTGAGACACTGACCTGCCAGGAAATACGGCTCATTAAAACCTAACTCATAAAAAAAACTGGTTTCAGTCATTTGTTTGGACTTCAATATTAATTTACTATTTCACAGGCCCCAGTGGGGTCTGAGACCATCTGAGCTTACAATTACTTACAATGCGACAAGTGAGGGCAACAAACCAACTGCTTTTGGGGAGGAAAAGCAGGCTACAGGGAACAGAGATTGCACAGCTTTTCGGGACGGCGTGGGGGCATCACAGTACAGGGATATTTTTTATTTTTTGCTTCACTATATATAAATATAAATCTAATGACCATATTAAGGGATCTATTGACTGACTTCTTGTGGATGTTGTCATAGAAGTAGGTTTTCAGCAGCATTTGCAACACAAAAAACAAAGCATTGGGCTGCTGCATGAGAACCTGAAAGTGAAACTATCTAATAAACAAACGCAAAAGTGACCACACACGCTCACTTGTCCAGATGAACGAAATACAAAAAGTAAACCGCCTACATGGTGAAAAGCAAACCAGATGATATGAACTGACAGCATTTCTTACACCAAGGGTGTTATTCGGTAAGGAAATCCAGAATCACTAACCCCAAGGGTTCAAAAAACATGAGAGATTTTACAAACCGAGCATCTGGGGCTATTTTCTTGGCCTTTGGGCTGTACTCACTTCACCTTTTCTAATTTTCTCCACAACCACGAGGGCTAGAAAATTACTTTTCTGTGGTGTGTTTTGTTTTGTTTGAGGTTTTTTTGGTAACAAAAGCCAAGATTCTCATGTGCTCTCCCAATTCCAGCAGCTGGGGCTTTAAGAAAAACACCAAATATCCCAAGATCCAAAATTAAATCATGAGAGTGGGCAACTCTGGAAATCGGTTTTCATTACGTGGCCTGACGGTTTCCAGCCCTGGGGCACACAGAGAAGCATTTAATCTGAGTGGTCTAACTTTCAAAGCTCACAGCTTCCGATGACTACAATGGGAGCTGCACGCGCTCAGTGCTTCTGAGCGTCCAGTCACTTCGATAGAGGTGCCGAATACTGGCCATTCCTTTTAACCTGACACTGTCTACTGAACTCTCCTGCAACTGGGCACAGCTTTGGTCTGCTCCAGAGACAGGAGCAACGGGGCCTCCGCTCAGCTACACCTGCAGGGCAGGCAGGAGAGCAGCGGAGCACGCGACCAGTGCTCCAGCACAGTGAGCTATCAACATCTGTTTAACGGGGTTAAGAGGACACTTCCCCAGGCGCAGATTATCCTCTCGCTTCCTACGGCTGGATTTCTGACAGCTGGTCCTGGCCCCAGTCTGAGACCGGGTACTGGTTTAGCTGGACCCTGGTCTGATCCACTCTGGCAATTCCTGCACTCCCAGATAGTTTTGTTTGTTTCTGATGGGCTGTCAATGATTTTTCTGGCACAGCGGCACTCAATGAATCATTCATTTTCAAGTCACAACGTGAGATTTTGCAGGTAACTCACAAAGACGGTGGTAGAAACATAGGCTGCAGAGCTGTCTGGTTTTCCCTAAGGCCAGGCCTCTCTTGAAGTGCATCTGCCAGATTCCTGCTGGCAACAGCAGCAGTAACAGCCGCAGAGGGTTGAGGGCACAAGGCAGTTCCGGCATCCCCACCCGCACCAGGAGCGCCGCGCAATGAGCGGCCGCCATAACAGAAAATGCTGGTGGAAGGGGACAGCAACTCCCCACTGGGTTCAGAACCAAGGAGCTGTTTCCAAAGGCGGATTTACCTGTTGTACTCGGATAAGGCCTGGGCGATGACCAGTCCCATTCCCTGCAAGAATACAGAACAGCTTTACACTGCAATCCCATACCACAGAGAACCAAATGATATTGACTGGATGAAGCTTCTCCCCCACCCACATCCCAGGGTGCGACACACAATTTAGTGTGCGAAATACGGAGTCAAAGAGTTAAAAAGCCAGGGCCCTAGCCAGGGGTCAGCATGGATTAACACTAACCAGGGCTGGGAAAGTTAAACAGAGATCTACTCCAAGGAGCTGCCAGCGTGAAAGCGTGCTCATCCACCAACCTCCGTCCAGTGGAGAGAGCCTTAAAAGCCAGCCGGTGTCAGAGCAAAGATAGATGCTAAGCCCCAGCTCACAGTGAAAGCCTCAGATAGAGGCAGGCTTTAAAAACCCAACAGAGCCAGCTTAAAATCCATCGACCACCGTAGAGACTGACGGGATACAGTCATGGCAGTTCAGTCTTATGAGCAGACAACAGCCCGGCACAGAAACAGGAAAGTCCAAATGAGCCTGGGTTCGCGTAAGGTTTCCTAATTCAATATTCCAGACATCATGACGGTTACAGTAACAGGTGGTAGGACAAACCATTGTACCAGACCTTCCGCACCTGCAAATGCAGCCTGAATTTGATATTTAAACTCAAGATACTTTAAAAAGCTTCCAAATCAACCACATAACCAGGAGGACAAAACATCTGTTAAAATGACATGAATCTGGGACAATTCTGAGTCTGTCCCATACAGCTCAAAATCATCTTAAATTACATGGCCGCTACCACTGAGAAACCCCTTCGTCAGTAGATCTCAAAACCTAAATAAATCTCAGGGTAGCTCTGAGAATTATGTCTGATCTTCATTTTACAGCTGGAGAAACTGAGGCAGAGCTAGGTCAAATGACAGAGTGAGTCAGTGTCCACCAGAATAAGTCCTGGCTCCCAGTCACCTGCTCTTACCCCTAGACAACAAATCCTCCCTGCACATGATTCAGAAGGAAGCTTTAATATCGGATATCCACTCGGCAACATTAAGGAAAAGTAAGCGTCAATACAGAAGAACCAGGGGTTGTTCTCATTTCAGTCACACTCCCGTGCTGGCAGACAGTAAGCTAAGTGGACACGGGACGGAGGGGATACAAATGGTATGTTTGTCCTGCACCAGGCAGTAGTCTACACTCTGCACAGCTGATTCTATTACAGCGAGAAAGCGCCTATGACTGCAAGAGCCACTTTGGGCAGCAAACCCCAAGGACACAGATGGCCGATTTTAGCATGTTCCTTTCTACCCATCCAGGTCCTTATTCCAACGAAACATTGAATTGTTACTTGATCAGGAATTCATCTCTCTCCCCCACTCCTAGAAGTTGATTTAGTTGGGGTTGGTTTGAGCAGAGGGTTGGACGGACTAGATGACCTGAGGTTCTTCCAACCCTAATCTTCTATGATTTTAAGTCTCAAAAGTGCCGCTAGCAGGGAGGCCAATCATGCGGATGCTCTCTGCTGTAGCACAATCCCGTCCCGGCTAGGTCAAGACACAAGGACACAGAGCCCACGAGAAGGTTCCAAGGAGCTGGTTACTCACGTTGAGTGTGGCCTCGTCATCTACAATAGAGAGTTTCACAATGTAGGGATTCACCGACTGTTAAACAAGAGAAGAAAGGAAAGTTTGGTCTCTGGTTAAAAAAAGCCTACTGGCTAGTCAGCAAAGTTCCCACAGCTTCCCCTGGAGGTTTCTTCCCACTGCCCCTACCCACAATGCAACAGCAGCCATTGATTGCATTTAAACCACTGGGCTCTGGTTCCCCTCCGTCTGCTCAGCCTCCCAAGGAATCAATCGTCTTTCTGGCTTTGTCCTCGGTGAGACGAGCCACCACTGGCTCAGCTACGCATCCAATATTATCTTTTATTACCAATTCTGATAGCTTGGTAAGCATCATGCAACCCTTCCATTACTGACACCTGGCACTATGCAGCAGGCCCAGGTAGTGGTGCAGGAGCTGAACATTACCACGGTCTGAGACTTGGGACTATGCCAATAACTGCTTGAGTGAAGCACCAGGGAAGGCCTGATAGTGTTAAGGACCCTTCTATCACAAACTGCCAGAACTAGAGCTCAATCCTTCCTAGTTCAGACTGCTGAAAGCTTGGAATCCAAGGAGCATACAAATCATCTGTACCAGATGACCGGAGGATGGCTAGCAGAATGCCAATTTTTTAAAAAGGCTCCAGAGGCGATCCTGGCAATTACAGGCCGGTAAGCCTGACTTCAGTACCAGGCAAATTGGCTGAAACTATAAATAAACACAATATGTTGGGGAAGAGTCAACATGGTTTTTGTAAAGGGAAATCACGCCTCACCAATCTACTAGAATTCTTAGATGGGGGTCAAACAAAAATGTGGACAAGGGGGATCCAGTGTGTGACGAACTGGGACTGTTCTTACTGTGGTCTTTGAATGCTGACACGGGAGTGTGGCTAGGATAGTCTGCATTGGGGGATGGGAGACTGACCGATGGAGAATACCTGAGCATGTAACATGAGAACCCAGGAAGGGGTTAGAGGCCAGTGACACCTTTGCCCAGGAAACTGAACAAAGGCTGTGGGAGAGGTTGCTGAAGGCAGAGTTTCGGGAGCTGGCTGGGAGGGAGACGGGGCTCTGACCTCGCAAGGGGGCTGGGGCGCCCTGGGACCCCAAGATGGACCTGAGGGGGGTCCTGTTGTCTGTGCCTACAAGACCTGTCTTGGACTGTATTCCTGTCGTCTAAATAAACCTTCTGCTTTACTGGCTGGCTGAGAGTCATGGTGAATCGCAGGACGCCGGGGGTGCAGGGCCTTGTGTCCCCCCACACTCCGTGACACAGTGGATACAGCGTACTTCAACCTTCAGAAAACCTTTGCCAAGGTCCCTCACTAAAGGCTCTTAAGCAAAGTAAGGAGTCATGGGATAAGAGGAAAGATCCTCTCATGGATTGGTAACTGGTGAAAAGATAGAAAACTAAGGGCAGGAATAAATGGTCAGTTTTCACAATACAAAGAAGTAAATAGTGGTGTCCCCCAAAGATCTGTACTGAGACCAGTGCTGTTCAACATATTCATAAGTGATCTGGAAAAAGGGGTAAACAGTGAGGGGGGCAAAGTTTGCAAATGATACAAAATTACTCCAGATAGTTAAGTCCAATGCAGACTGTGAAGAGTTACAAAGGAATCTCACAAAACTGGGTGACTGGACAACAAAATTGCAGATGAAATTCAATGAGGAAAAGTGCAAAGCAGTGCACTTTGAAAAACATAATCCCAACTATATATACACAAAATGATGGGGTCTAAACTAGCTGTTACCACTCAAGAAAGAGATCTTGGAGTCACTGTGGATAGTTCTCTGAAAACATCCACTCAATGTGCAGCGGGAGTCAAAAAAGCGACCAGAATGTTAGAAACCATTAGGAAAGGGATAGATCATAAAACAGAAAAACAACACAATGCCACTGTATAAATCACTGGTACGCCAACATCTTGAATACTGCGTGCAGTTCTGGCAGCCCCTCTCAAAAAAGATGTATTAGAAATGGAAAACGTACAGAGAAGGACAACAAAAATGATTAGGCGTATGGAACAGCTTCCATATGAGGAGAGATTTAAAAGATTGGGACTATTAAGTTTGGAAAAGAGACAACTGAGGGGGGATATGATAGTGGTCTATAAAATCATGAATGGTGTGGAGCAAGTGAATAGGGAAGTGTTATTTACCTCGTCACATAACACAAGAACCAGCGGTTACCCAAAGAAATTAATAGGCAGCAGGTTTAAAACAAATACAAGGAAGTACTTCTACACATAATGCACAGTCAACCTGTGGAACTCCTTGCCAGGGGATGTTGTGAAGGTCAAAAGTATAACTGGGTTCAGAAAAGAATTAGATAAGTTCCTGGAGGACAGGTCCATCAATGGCTATTAGCCAAGATAGTCAGGGATGCAACCCCATGTTCTGGGTGTCTCTAAGCCTCTGACTGTGAGAAACTGGGACTGCACAACAGGGGATGGATCACTCGATAACCACCCTGTTCTGTTCATTCCCTCTGAAGCACCTGGCTCTGGCTGCTGTCGGAAGACAGGATCCTGGGCTAGATGGACCTTTGGCCTGGCCCGGTCTGGCCATTCTTATGTTCATCTGAACTCCCAGCTGAAGGAAATGTCCAGACTAAGCCCCTGTAGAGATGCCACTAATATTTTAAATAGCATTTTTCATTAGTAAAATACGTTTGTTTATTCCAAGTTGTTTACCCCTGTCAATGCAGAGACTAGCCAAGGCAATTTGGGACTGGCTCGAACAAACAAAAAAGGGGCAGGGGAAGGTTGTAAACACCCAGCAAAGATCCTTCAGCTGCAGCGTCGATTTATCAAACATTTTGTCACCGAGTTACCCAACTTTACAACTAGCTTGTCGGAGATGCGATTCCTTGCTCAAGGTCACACAGTGAGTCAGGAACAGGGCAGGGCAGAGCCCAGCCCCATCCCAAATTTTCAGCTTCGTGACAATTACATTTCCTCTTCAGTTACATTTAGGAGTTTAAACCCAGAGGAGATGGTATATCAGGACAGACTAATGGTCTGGGTAACCTGATATCCTGTCTCCAATAATGTCCAGTACTATATGTTTGATACAATGGCAGAAAACCCCCACAATGCACCTCACTGAGAAACACTACCTCCTGGGAAAAGAATGGGGAAGTTTCCTGCCCCCAGCTTATGCCTTGAGGCTGGAGGAAAGAGCCCTTTGAGTAACTGCATATGCCATTCTTCATATAAATATAATCTTCAAAAACTAAATAGAGTCTTTGCTTTGGTAATATCCTGCAGCAGTGAGTTCCACCAGTTGCTGATTATATGCAGCTGACAACCATTTCCTTTTACCTTTCTTGAGTGTGCTAAGTTCAAATGTTCTCTTGCTCTACTACTAGAAGGATGGGAAACAAGGAGTACCGTCTTCTCAATATCTAGTATCACTTTCTAGACCTCTGTCACCTCTCTCCTTATTCACACCCTTCCAAACTAGAGAGACCAAATCATTTTAACTTCTCCTCACAAGGGAGCCCCTTCTCGTGTGTCTAATTAATTTTCACTCCCCTTCTGTGAGCTTCTCCTCTTACTGGAATGCCTTTAACAAGAGGAGGTGATCACAGACGCGCGCACACACTCTGTTGGTTTATAAAATGGCGTTATTCTCTATTCCCTCACTCTCGTTTGTGAGGGCTGTCACAGCACACTGAGAAGACTATTTCCCTGAGCTGTCCACAGTGAATTACAGACCCGTCCCCTACTCGGAGATGTTACAACTCATTCTGAACCCACCCATGTATCGGACTAATACCAGTTCTTCCTTTCTGTGTGCATTAGCTCGCACTATGACCTCTCTGAATTGACATCCAGTTGCCCAGGTATCCATTTATATCAGGCCCTCCTGGCATTCCTCGCTCACCTCTCATCTCTCCCCACAGTTTCAGAGTGTCCTTTATTTTCTCCTGCAAGAGACTTTTGCTCAAGTTTTAGGAGAGTAAATAAATTGCACCTGCCATTTTCCTATCTCCCCCTGTGGGTCCCAGCCTTAGAAGCTATGTAGGAAGCATTCCTAGTAAGCTAGAAGTATTGAGAAGCCACTAGAACATCACTGGTGTAGTACCAGGGGGGCTGAGATAGATCTTCAGCCTCCAACTGCCTCTCCTGAGAGAAACCAGAAAAATACCGTACTACCCCAGCACTCCGGAGGAAGCTGATCTTGTCTACCGCGACCTTCACCGAAGCAGCACTCGCTCTATTCACCAGACTGGAGTTAGAGCCTCATTCCTGGAGATGATACACACTCAGGGGACATCTCTTATAAGCTACCAAAGGCAATTACTGATAAATCACAGAGAAGCAGAAACATGCACAGTCAGGGAACCTCACAAGGACAGCCCGGCTACGAGCTCAACGGAGCAGAACCCACTCCATGAATGCCATGCAGCCAAGTGACCAAAACCATTCTGAATTCCTCCACAAGTGTAGCTGAGCTACTTAATAAGCCAACGGAAACCAGAAATTCTTCACTAAGAAAACAAAGGAGAAATACAGGCTAAATACACAATCTCAACAATATTAGTCAGTCATACAAATGCAATCCAGATAGGGTGACCAGATGTCCCGATTTTATAGGGACAGTCCCAATTTTTGGGTCTTTTTCTTATATAGGCTCCTATTACCCCCACCCCCTGTCCCGCTTTTTCACATTTGCTGTCTGGTCATCCTAAATCCAGAGTCCATTCATTTATGCATTCGCTGCACAGTCGTGGTGGAATCACACAGCTGGACAGCCACCCCTGCAATTCACCCTCTCCCCGGCCAGAGGGTCTCACTCCACAGCCAGGCCTTCTAAGCAGGGAACTTTGGCCCGAGTGATGAGTGGGGGCAGAGCCATTCATCTCCCTAATGGCACCAGGGGGCACAGTTTTAGAGCCTCTCTCCCTCACTGATACGCTGCCACCAAGTAACTGCTTCCACAGGGCAACAGAGAAAGGAGGAACGAGGGGAGAAAGGAGTCACCCAGACTGCTAAGTGGAGCCTCCAAGCTCCTCGGTGCAAGCAGGGGAATGGAGGGAGGTGGTG